TACACATATATATGTTTATATAACCTCTTACAACTCAATAGTAAGAAGGCAAACAACCTAATTAGGAACCAGGACAAAGATTTGAATAGACATTTCACCAATGAAGATACCCAAATGGCTAATAAGCACATGAAAAGATGCTCAATGTAATTAGTCATTAGGGAAATAAAAATTCAAGCCACAATGAGATTCCACTTCACACCCACTAGAATGGCTATAAGACAGACAATAACAAATGTTGGGGAGGATGTGGAGACACTGGAACCCTCATGCATTGCTAGTGAGAATGTAAAATGGCGCAGCCACTTTGGAGTATAGTTTGGCAGTTTTATAAGAAGGCTTAACATACAACCCAGCAATTCCACTCCTAGGTATCTATCCAAGATAAATGGAAACATGTTCACACAAAGATTTGTACATGAATGTTCATAGCAGCATTATTTATAATAGACAAAAAGTGGAAAGAACTCAAATGTCTATCAACTGGTAAATGGATGAATAAAATGTGGCCTATCCATACAATGGAATATTACTCAACCATAAAAAGGAATGAAGTACTGATTCGTGGTACACCATGATGAACCTCAAAAACGTGATGCTGAGTGAGAGAAGCCAGACACAAAAGGCCACACGCTGTGTGAACCATTTACATGAAATGTCCAGAATAGGCAGACGCATAGAGACAAAAAGTAGCTTAGAAGTTGGCAGGGGCTGGCTGGGGGATTTGATTGTATATGGGCACAAGGGATCTTCTGGGGGTAATGGAAATGGTCTAAGACTAGATTGTGGAGATGGTTGCGCAACCCTATAAAGTTACTAAAAATCATTGAATCATTCTCTTAAAAAGAGTGACTTTTATGGTATGTCACACCTCAATAAGAAGTCCGTGGGTGGTGCAGTTAATGCCCTCGGCTGCTAACCAAAAGGTTGGAGGTTTGAGGCCACCCAGAGGGACCTCAGAAGAAAGGCCTGGTGATCTACTTCTGAAAAAACAGCCATTGAAAATGCTATGGAGCACAGTTCTACTCTGACACACATGGGGTCGCTATGAGTTGGAATTAACTCAATGGCAACTGGTCGCACCTCAATAAAATTATTAAAATAAAAAAAGTTTTCGGTTAGCTGAAGGATTTAACTTCTATCATGAGAGGGTAGTTTCTACGAGCTGTGAGACCTTGGGTCAGTCATTGAATTTTTCTGTGCCTCCATTTCTTCACCTATAAAATGAGGATCTAGGATAATAACAGAGGCCCCCTCAGGAGAAAAATGGAAATGCACATGAAGAACTCGGCACAGTGCTTGGCACTGAACAAGACCTCCCTCAACGTGCTCTGCCCTAATTGCAGTAGCATAAGCGTTATCATTATAAAAAACCCATTGCCGTCTGGTCGATTCCAACTCATAGCAACCCTGTAGAACAAAATAGACCTGCCCCGTAGAGTTTCCAAGGTTGTAAATCTTTACTGAAAAGCAGACTGCCACATCTTTCTCCCGAGGAACGGCTGCTGGGTTCAAACCGCCAACCTTTCCATTAGCAGGCCAGCTCTTAACCACTGCGCCACCAGGGCTGCTTATTATCATTATAACACCACCCTGTTAATCTGTCCACCAGACGGCCGCTATTTGGGTTGACAGGTGGTAGCAAAAACCAGGGAGAAGTCTTAGAGGGTGAGTCAATTCAGACAGACTGGGGCCAGTAAATCCCTGAGTTAAAAGAAAATAATTTAACGACCCTGACCTAGATTCAGACCAAGGCGCTTTTGCATAGAAAATGGCATTTGCCAGCCACTCCTAATTCAGTGCCGGCTGTTTCCAGTAGCTGCCGGAAGTGTCCCTCGACTATGCGCATCCACTGCAAGAGGGGCCACTGGGACCGCGGCCCCATACTCAGCTCTCCCTTCCCAACACAAGGGAGTCCCTGTGGAAGGCCTCCCAGATCTTTCCATAACATACTCTCTCCTTCTTTTGCAGCTTGCAGACCCCTCGAGATGGAAAGGCCTTCCGGATCTTTGCAGTCAGGCAGTAAACCTCCAGCGCCAGGGGAGCAGGGGGCATCTTCAGGAGGGCTTCGGGGTTTTGCTTTTTATGTTGTCATTTGTGGGGTGGGGGTGGGGGGTGGAGAGTTAGGAAACTTCCTTTGCGTGGGGCTCAGTGTCATGGGAGTCCTCTCCATGGCCTTTGGCGAGGCTGACGTCTCATCTCATCCCAGTGGAGAAACGGCATCCTTGATGTGTTGGCTGGACAACTGGTGACACGTCCTGCTGAGGTCTGGGCCCCATCTCTTAAAGGAACAGTTGCCCAAGATGGTCCTTCCCATGTGTAGTTCTTTTGTTCTTTTGCGGGGAGAGAAGATTCCAAACCTGCTGAGAGAACTAAGGGTTTGGAGCTCAAAAATCTGAGGCCTTCACGGGTATGTGACGGGGCACACTGAGGAAGTGGAGGGAGAGTTTCGGGAATGGAGTCAAAGGTGGTTATTTAAATATAAAAAAATCTAGTCCGTCCCTACCAGTGGAGAAAAATGGGCTTCATGTTTGCTGGTCAGACAAATGGCAGGAGAGAGAAGGCTAGGGGAGGGAGACTGCGGCTCCTGCCCCGGCACGTGTCCTTGCTGGTGCCCTGCCGGGACGAGAGCAGTTAGTTATATACACAGCAGTGCTGGTTTATTTAGAGTTCAGCAGTAACTCCAGAGATTTAGCTTGTCTGTGCCATCTCCTTCGTTCACATGGCCCGTCTGTTTGCTGCCGTGACCTTTGGTCCCGTGGAGGACTGAGAAACCAGGATCCTTTCTTTGCCCCCTCTCCATAGTGGCTCATGCCCCAACCCACCAGATTTGTGTGTAAGTTGTATTTCCCACCCAGGGCTTTGCTTTGCAATCGACTCCTTTTAAAGCCTACGTTTCTCAACTCCTAGTCTCTGGTGATTCCGCGGAGAATAGCCGAAGAAGGGCTACTTTGTTGCTGATTTTTGACAGATGACAACTGTGCAGACTCTGTCTCTGGCGGGTGATCTGTTTTTCAGTAGTGGAGAAAATGGATTCCTTGGAACGTTCCTCACCGAGGTTAGGCGCCTTGGAGGAGCAGCAGCCTGTGGTTATGAAACCGTCCGCAGTGTAATAACAACGATAGAGTCTAACACACCAGAAGGATTTCTCTTCTTGTTTTTGTGGGACAGTTTTGCCAAGCATTCCCAGGCTCCAAGGACTATGGTGCTAGCTGGCTCCTGTCACTTTATAAGAGTTCTTCACTAGCCCAGACTTAAAGCCCACAGTGAAATGAAATACACTTTTGTAAATAGCATTTCTTTGCAGAAGGTAAAATTCCATCCTTCCACCACCAGGTTGGCCAATATGTCACTTTTGTGAAAGCTGGTTTCAAATTGATTTCACTTCCCATCAAAATATTTCTAAGGCAAAGGAAATAGCAGAAAGCAAAAATCTAAGATCATGTGGACAAAGAACTTTATCTAGGGGGCTAAGGTGTAGGTCAATTCACTGCATTCCAAATTAATACAGAATCTGAAGGTAAATAGCTTTTTGTTTTGTTTTTTTGTAAAAAGCAATTAAACTCTTACCTTCACAGAAGCTTAAATTAGCAGGACCATATTTTGCTTAGTTCATTGTGGGTGAATATGCAACCTCAGACATCAGGGTGAAAGAATTTGGTCAGCCTGACAGGTACTGTTCTAGTGAACACTGAGCTTCTGAGTGTATGGAAAGTTCTGGATGTTAAGTGTTATGCTGCTGGACACAAGGCTTCATCACTAGTCGATTACGGCAGTGGCTGGGTTGAGACAACAAAGTAAATCGGATCCCCTAGTTGGGTTTTTAGAATTGGTGATCAGATCCAGGGAATTTCTGTGGGTTTGCTTCTGAGGCACCCCACCAGAGGAAGAACCGGAAACTTCCATTGTGAGTTGACCCCCATCATTGAAAATAAATTCCCGGTTCCTTAAAGCAGTTGCTGCTACTTCGACTCCAACTCATGGTGCCTTCATGTGTGTCAGAGTAGGACTGTGCTCCAGAGGGTTTTCAATGGCTGGTTTTTCAGAAGTGTATCACCAGGTCTTTCTCCCGAGGCACCTCTGGGTGGACTCGAACTTCCAACCTTTTGGTTAGCGGCCCAGAGTCTTAACCAATTACACCATGCAGGAACTCCCTGGGCTCCTTAATGCATCATGAACCCGGCTCGTCTAACAGTTTAGTAAGACCTCAGCCAGAACTGGATCTTGCCGGGTGTTTTACCATTTTGAAACTGCAACCATTTTTCTTCTTGATTGCTGGTCCTCAAAATGGAAACAAGACTACAAATTATAAGCCCTTCTACACAGGACCACCTCTATTTTGTGTTTGACAAGCCCATTGCATGATGTTTACTAAGACAATGCATCAACCAGCCGGGGGTCATTTAGGTCTCCTGTCCCCAAAATGAAGGGTTTTGGTTTCTTTCTGCTGTTTGCCCTGTCTCGTTCTCAAGCGTGTGCTGAGTTTTCACATTGTCTGTAGGCTCATTCAGCCCACAGCTTACATGTGTGCTTTTTTCTATGAAAAATGATGTTTTTTTTATTGCTTCCTATGTACAAAATTTATTGTAAATGTTTTTGTGCTTGGCGTGAACAGGGGTCATGCTGTTGCTGTTGTTTCAATAAAAATGGTTTGATTTCTAAAATGTTTCTGGAACATACCTCTTACGGACAAGTCTGAACAGTTTGTGAAACAGAATGTTTAAGACCTCATCACAGGCTCATGCCTGTTTTGTTTATGCCACTTCTAGCAGGAAGTCGTGCCTGCAAGGATATGCTAACTGTTATGCTATTTTCTGAAGCCTTCCCAAGACCTTCCCCAGACAAGTGGGAGTTTTGTTGTTGTTAGCTGCCTTCAAGTAGCTACCCCACACCAATGGAACGCTGCCCAGTCCTGCATGATACGTTGCAGATTGGACTGTTATGATTCACAGGGTTTTCTTTGGCTGATTTTTGGAAGCAGATTGCCAGGCCTTTCTTACTCATCTATCTTAGTCTGGAAGCTCTGCTGAGATCTGTTCAGCATCATAGCAATACTCAGGCCTCCACTGAAAGACAGGTGGTGGTTGTGCCTGAGGTTCATTGGCTGGGAATTGAACCTGGTTCTTCCACATGGAAGGCAAGGATTCTACCGATACCCTCTTATTATCTGTAAAAGGGGGATAATGATAGCGTCTACTCCATAGGGTGGTTAGGAGGATTACATGAGATCAAACATGAGAAATACTCAGCACATGGTATGCACTCAACAGCTGCCACGCATAGTTCCTATTACGATTTTGTAAAGTAGAACTAATTCCAACAGGCGCATGTCACAGGGAGACAGATTTCAACCAAATACAATAAAGAACTTCCTAACATGCAGAGTTGCCCAAAGGTGAAATGGCCTATATGAAGACGGATTGAGTGCCCCATCCCTGGGAGAATACAAGCAGAGGCTGAAAAAGCATCTGGATAATGGCAGAGTAGACATGTTCTCGGGTTGGAATAGATCAACATTTAGACCTCTTCCCTGATTCTGACTCTCAGCTTAGACCCTCCTTTCCCTTCTCTGCCCCAACCAGACTGCCCTTAGGAGCCAGTGAGGGGTGACATGGAGCTCCCCATGGATTCTCGAACCATGGCAACTTCATTCTAGAAAAGAATAAATAAATAACCTCTGCAGCCATGTAGGTGGTCCTGAAACTGTTAAATTTTATTGGGTTGGTTTTCTTCTTTTGTTGTTTGTTTGTCCACCTTCCTTCGAATTTTTTATGCCAAACCAAAACCTGTCCTAGACTGCCACTAGGGCTTAAAAAATCTTTTAGACCCTTAAAAAAATAAATTTGGTGCAGAAGGCATGGGTTTTGAAAACCTCGTGGCATTCCTTTTACCCTTTCATCTTGGCCAACTGAACTGGTGGCAGCCTTCATCCATCCCAGAACCAGGGAGACAGGCCCTTAAACCAATTCCCTCTGGCAGCCCCTGGCTCCGAGATGGAGAAGGCTCTCTCTGTGTGCCCTGGCTGCCACCACTCTGGAGAGGAGTGGACCAGCTTGTCAGCAAGTGGGTGCCTGGCCGACCTGCTTTCACCTTCTTACCCCAGTGGTGGCTGAAGTCCAAAGGACGCTTCCCTTTCATCCCACCACCACCAATGCCTGATACAGGAAGGTAGTGAAGGAATTCACTGTGCCAAATGCCTACTATGAGCCAGGAACTGGTTAGGAGCTGAGCATACACTATCTCATTTAATGAGCACACATTTCTTTAAATTCCTAACAGGTTTTCAGATTCTAATTCAACTAATATTTGTCAAAGTATCCGTTAGGAATGCGTTTGGCTGCATGTAACAGAAACCCAACCACAGTGGCTTATTTTTCCTGCACAAGAAGTTCAAAGGTAGGCAGTCCCGGGGTACAGTGCCGCAGGGGAGTCATCAATGACCACGTTCCTTCCCGCCTTCTGCTCTACCACCCTCAGCATGCAGCATTTGTCCTCATAGTGTCAAGATGACTGCTTCGCCTCCAGCACGTCACTTACATTCTGGGAAGGAAGAAGAGGTAATGGTGAAGGGCAAAATGATATGCTAAATTTCTACAAACAGCCCAGTAAAAAAGATGGGCAAATCTAAGAAGTTTCCTGAATACAATCAAACACTTTGAGGGACAGAGTAGCAGTGGTAGGGGTCTGGGGACCGTGCTTTCAGGGGACATCTAGGTCAATTGGCATAACAAAGCTTATTAAGAAAATGTTCTGCATCCTACTTTGATGAGTGACATGCGGGGTCTTAAAAGCTTGCAAGCGGCTGTCTAAGATGCATCAGTTGGTCCCAACTACCTGGAGTAAAGGAGAATGAAGAACACCAAAGACACTAGGAAAGTAGTAGCCCAAGAGACAGAAAGGGCCACATAAACCAGAGACTTCATCAGCCTGAGACCAGAAGAACTAGATGGTGCCCGGCTACCACCAATGACTGCCCTGACAGGGAGCACAATAGAGAGTTCCTGATGGAGCAGGAGAACGATGGAGTGCAGAACTCAAATTCTAGTAAGAAGACCAGACTTA